GAGAGAGAGAGAGAGAGAGAGAGAGAGAGAGAGAGAGAGCTCTGTTTTCCAGCCTGACTCTATTTAATTTATTGTTTTGGTTGTGTGTGATTTAATTAATTTATTATAATTTAATTTGTTTTATTTATTATATATAATTTATATATTTTTAGATTATTTCACATTTCATTTGCAATGTTGAATGTTCAATAAAAAGTTATGTTTGAAAGGATGTACTTGAATTATTATTATATGTCTAAAATGGTCTTAAAACGGTGCCGACAATATTATCGTTTATCGCAATAATTTCCAGAAAAATTTATCGTCCAACAAAATTAATTATCGTGACAGGCCTATACATAGGCTATAATAGTAATTAGTGCTAATTACACAACTTGTGCTTATTGTACAAATTGCCCAACATATGTGAGTTAGCATCCGGCAGCTTGTAATTACTGGGGACCCGTACTATACATACAGAAAAGGGGTCATTGCAAATGCTTTGACATACTTCAATGTCAATCATCAATGATCCCATGACTGGAATTGGTCAAACTGGGTTGTGCCTTACCTCCTCCCATAGAGTGAATGAGGAAGAAGCACTGCAGACAGTCACAGTGTTCTGCTGCCTTCCTCAGTTTATCCACGATCTGTTCCCTGTAGGCTGAGCCATACGTCATGTGTCCAACTGCCCTGTAGAATAACAAGCATAAAAATTAAGGGCAAACTTTGGAAAACATTGTCTTGGTTCTTTTGAGTCTGAAATGGACGGTATATTTCTGTTCATATGGTGATCATTATTATCCATAAATGAACTTCAGCTGCAGAATTATTTATTTATTTTCTAATTTGGGTCCAAAACTGGAAAAATACATTTTCCATTTTGTACACTTCAAAAAGTGGTTAAAAGTGGTTTTTAACTTAGTACTTTTGAATGAATGTAACATATGTAACATTAAGCTGTCTGTGGCTCTTTTCTGCTGTAACTACGTACATGTTCCCTCTGTGGGACTAATAAAGGTATTCTGAAATAATAGAATTTGGAGTTAGAATATCTGGGCTGCAGCCTGTGAGCACCTGTGAATGACTTTATCCGGGACTAAAAACATTGCATTTCTTTACTGTGTTATCATGGTATGCGAGAGAAGGTACATCCAATTATTTTAAGAACACAAAGTCAGTTTTTCTAAGCATGTGATCTTTAGAATACCAAGGCTTGACATGCTGTGGTAATCATAGCTGTAACAATGGCTCCATGACTGAAAACACAGTAGTTATGTCAAGAAGCACTTCTGACTTTTCCCCCAAATTGTATAATGGAGGCTTGAGGCAGTAGAAAGAAAAAACACACAATCGTAGAGACCTCTAAGCTTCTCATGATCTTTTGTTTCTTTGCTGGGAATTATAAATGATGGTGCCATATAAGGGGACAAAATGATTTGGAACATTCAGAAATGTACTGGCATTCTGAAAGATTTGAGTGCAACAGTTGCTAGCAGCCATGTGAAATCGTCCTGTGAAGAGTCAGTGTCTCACCAGTTGTTGCCTGAACCCGACACGTCTGTGAGGAGCTGGGTGCTGTCAAACATTTCTCTCAACGGGCCGTGCAGGATCTCATTGACCACACCCTCCTCCATGTCCACCAGCACCGCCTGTAGATTCAAATATATGCAAGTATGAGGACAGCGCATGCCTTTGAATATTTCCTTTCTCTAATCCAACCCTGATCTGACTCCTAGTGAGGACCAGAGGGGAAAATCTGTGCCTAAAGCTGCTTCCTGGTATGAACAGAACTCACCCTGGCCTTCAGATGTTGGATTCTTCCACCAACAAAATGGGCCTCCCCATCACATTTCCTGGAAAGAAAACCAGATATAACAACAGGACTAAATTAGGACCACTGTATGGAGGCACGTTTCTTAACTCATGTAGCAGTAACTAGTTACTAGAGTGTTCGATTACCTTGAGTCCACATTTCGGAAAAAGCTACTGAGTGCCTCATCATACAATCCTTTCTGAAAATGAGACATACACAGGATGAGGAAACCTGTACAAGTCCTGGAAGTTGTGAACATGTCTGTTTTAGAATCAGAATGAATTCTATAGGCCAAGTATGTGAAGCAGTACAGAACATGACATTAAAAAGGACAACAAAGCTGGAAAATATAAGGTAAATGAAGTCAAATGTTTATATATAACACACAGTCGAAGATACAGTGACATATATATAACGCATACACGACTAACAATAAAATAATAACACTTCATCGATACATTTTCATAATACAATTTATAAATAGTTGTTAAAAAAGCTAATTGTTGGGGTCCTCACAGATTCAGGCTCATCAAATACAATGTGAGGTTAGTTTAGTGTCTGACTCAGTTCATGTGTTGAGATGGGTGTATTAGTACTTACTTTATTCACATGGGCATGTTCTCGCAAGGCAAGATCCCAAAACCTGCAGCCAACCTGGTTGCCACACTGCCCAACTGCAGAACACGCATTAAAAGTTTGGTTGAGTAAAATGTGTCAACCATTTGTTGAATCAGCTGTAGCCAGTGGTGTAAGTTAAGTAAAGCAGATTTACTCAAGTACTTTGCTTAAATTCAATTTTGAGGGATTTGTAATTTACTTGTCTCTAAATGTTTTGCTAAATCCACTACATGTATTTAATACCTTTAGTTACTTTGCAGATGTGGATGAATGATGTGAAGTATAATCAAGTGTTAAATCAGACTTTAGTTCCACTTTAGAGTAAATTCACAAGCTACCCTGCAGTATACAAATTCATTCAAACTAGCTGCACCTTTACCAGCTTTGAGAACACTTTAATGATCAATCATTATAAAACATATCATATATATTATTCTGAAAAGGACCAATCTGCACAATGACTACTTTTATTGTCGCTACTTTAAGGATATTTGTATGCTAATACTTTGGTACTTTTACTTGAGTAAGATTTTAAATGCAGGACTTTTACGGTAACAGAGTATTCCTACTCTCTGGTACTTCTACTTAAGTACCAGATCTGAGTACTTATCCCCCTCTGGCCGTAACTAAATATGCTCCTGCTGTAAATCTATAAATTGTGCACTAGCATTCAGTGGCTAACCTAAAGGCAGCTAAACTAGCTGCTAGCTTCTCTCTGGATGCTCGCATTAACGTTGAGTTTTAACTCACCTTGGACAACAACGGACTGTGTCATGGCAGCAGCTGGACGGAGCACCCAGGCGCCTTTATAACACAGAGCTAATCTAATTTAAAAACACTTTTTAAGAAAATACTTTTGAACGCTTCTCTAATCTCACGCCACCACTGTGTTTGGTCGAGTGCTGAGGACGTATTACCAGGGAAAAGCGTGGTTATGGCTAGAAAGGATCCGTCTTGTGTAAAACGCTCGCGAGAGTTTGCCAGTCACATGGCTGAATGTTTACTTTTGGCAGGCAGCCTTTCAGTTACGATCGTTAACATCAGTGGGCCACAGCAAATGATGGTGAGAAGCTAAACTAATTTAATGTCAATTACAGTGAGTGTGATTGTTGAAATAGGGTGTTAGCGGTCTTGCTGTTCAAAGTAGAATGACAACACTGCAGATCACCAACACTATGGTTTATTTTTTATTCACAGGCAAGTCAACGTTGTCGCAGTAAAAGTCCCAAGATAGCTCCTGGTGCAATAAAATGTTCCCTTTCAGTGTTTTACTATTAGGCTTGTTTGAGACGCGTTGCGGCTCGCCTCGAAAGTAGACGAGAATAGCCGATCGCAGCCGGGGGAGGTCTCAAAAAGCTCGCCTGAAGTCGGACAGCTCCGAGTCGGCTTCTTCTTCTTCTTCTTCTACTTCTTCGCCTTCTTCTTCTTCTTCTTCTCTTGGTTTTTTGGCGGATTGCAAACCACTTTAAGGTGCATACCGC